GCAGGAGGATCGCCTGAGCCCAGGAGGTCAACGCTGTAGTGAGCCACGATTGTGCCACATCACTCCAGTCTGGTGACAGAGTGAGACCTAGACTCAAAAAAATAAAATACAAATAAAATATAAATAAAAATATTGTAAACCAATGAGCTGAAAAGCCAATGTGGCTTATCCCTTGTAAGGCAGGCTGTGTCAAAAGCAAGTCAAAAAAGGTGGGGTACATTTTGTTTCTTTCACCAAGTGTCAATCTGAGACTTCTTTTTGTTAACCAAAAATAATGCAATTCTTAACGCAGAGGAACTGGTATTGCTTATATGAGAAACAGCCCACGCAAATGCCTCTCTTCCTACCACCCTAGCACCTGATTACCATCAGAAATAGTTGCTGTTTTTCTTTAAACCAACTCATTTTTAAGCTGGAATTTCTTTAAGAGATACTATCAGCAAACATTTTTGTAGCTTTAAGTGTCAGACACTGCTCTCATTGAACTCTCACAAAATTATAAGATAGTACTAATTATTTCACCAATTTACAGGTGAGAAAACTGAGCTCAGAAAGGTTAAAGATTTTGCCCAAGGTCAGAGATCTACTAAGTGGTTGAGTCATGATGGGAAGCCATCTGACTGAATAGAACTACCGTACTGGCTGAAAGAGAAATTTTCTCTCTTCTATAGTACTTAAGAGTTGGGTTGTTTTCCCCTTAAAGAATGAGATGCAAAAGGTAAATGGAAGAAATCCATAAACTCAGGTAATTCTCTATATTATCTGTATAAACACAAACAGGCTAATGTCTAATGTTGGGAGTTAAAAAGTTAGAATCCTAAAAACAAACTTAAAATGAGGAAGTGACTGCTAATGGGTATAGGGTTTCTATTGGGAGTGATAAAAATGTCCTAAAACTGATTGTGACTGTTGCACAGACCTGTGAATACAATAAAAAGCATTGAAGTCTACATTTTAAAAGGGTGGATTTATAACATGTGAATTATTTCTCAAGAAAGCTGTTTAAAAAACAAACAAACGAGGAGCTGATACCAATCTTATTAAAAGAAAAACAGAAAAACAAAAACAAAAAACCAGAAAAGAGCAGTTGGGAAATCAGGAGGGTTGTGACTGGATAAAAGGGTGAGGCCCGCTAGGGAGGTCTGGTTGACTGTGCCTACAAGTTCACATAAGCTAGCATGTCTTGGGCTCAAATGTCTCATCTTGTGAATTTATATAAGGCTGACAAATTGATTGATTTATTAATTTGAGATGAAGAACTGCTAAGGAAAAAGAGATGCTCAGGTCTGTCAGTGAATTCTATCAATGCAAATTACATGGGAGACAAATTATCCCAGGAAGGCCATGGAAGTTCTAGTCAATGAAACAGGAAAATACTTTTGTTGAGTGCTGAGCTAGTACCTTGTTAGCGCTGGTCACATGATGGTGATGACCACAGGACAGCATGTAGGAGACACCAAGGTTGTGTCCGATGTCCAAGAACTTATTAATATGGAAAGACATGAGAACCCAGGCCTCTCACTGGGCCTTCACCACCTGGACTCCAGCCCCTCCAGCCCTAGACAGTCTCCTTTGGGTAGTAGCAACCCCAGTATCTGTCTCTCAGGCTGTCCTTCTTTGCTCAACTTCTTCCTCTGAAGAAACTGTACTTTATTTTTATTTATTTATTTATTTATTTGAGTCAGAGTCTCACTCCATCACTCAGGCTGGAGTGCTGTGGCATGTTCACAGCCACCGCAGTCTCAACCCGCTGGGCTCAGGAGACCCTTCCACCTCAGCCTTCCAAGTAGCTGGAACTACAGGCATGTGCCATCATGCTCGGCTCGTTTTTCTTTGATTTATTGTAGAGACGAGGTCTCGCCAAGTTGCCCAGGCTAGTCTTGAGCCCATGGGCTCAGACAATCCTCTTAACTCAGTCTCCCAAAGTGTTGGGATTATAGGCATGAGCCACTGCGCCCAGCGAACCTGTTCTTTATTTAGAGCCTACTCCTGAGAACTGGAAGCCATTTGCTCTCTTTATTTTTATTATTTATTTATTTTATTTCTTTTAGAGATAAAAGAAATTTCTCTTACTACATTGCCCAGGCTGAAGTGCAGTGGCTATTCATATGATCATAGCTTCCTACAGCCTCAAACTCTAAGGTGGAAATAATCCTTTTGCCTTAGCCTTCTAAGCAGCTAGGACTATACAGTTTTGTGCCACCACAGCCGGCCTGCTTGCTCTTTTTTCTTTTTTCTTCTTCTTTGTGTGTGTGTGTGTGTGTGTCTTTTTTCTTCGTGTGTACGTGTGTGTGTGTGTGTGTGTGTGTGTGTGTGTCTCATTCTGTTACCCTGGCTGGAGTGCAGTGGCACCATCGTGTCTCTCCACAGCCTTGACCTCCTGGGCTCAGGAGATCCTTATGCCTCAGTCTCCTGAGCAGCTGGCACTACAGACATACACCACCATGCCCAGCTAGTTTTTTTATATTTTTTTTGTAGAGGTGAGGTCTTGCTATATTGCCTAGCCTGGTCTCAAACTCCTGCGCTCAAAAGCAATCCTCTCACCTCAGCATCCCAGTGTTGGGAATAGAGGCGTGAGCACTGCTTGCTCTTTTTAAAGGGGATAGTGCATTTCCATTCTGACCCACTATTTGCAGGTTTAGGGTTTGCTTCTCAAAGGTAGTCTGATCCCCATGTTCTAGGAAAGCCTTATGAGGTATCCCAAGTACTGGCAACAAAATCCACAGTAATGTACTAACTACAAATTATTTTCTCTTTTTTTTTTTTTTTGAGTTGGAGTCTCACTCTGTCACCCAGACTGGAGTGCAGTGGCCGCTCCTGGCCACCGCAGCCTCGACCTGCTGGGCTCCAGCGATCCTTCCACTCAGCCTTCCAAGGAGCTGGAACTACAGGCGTGTGCTACCATGCCCGGCTAATTTTTGATTTATTGTAGAGATGAGGTCTCGCCAAGATGCCCAGGTGGGTCTCGAACCCGCGGGCTCAGGCAATCCCCTCACCTCAGTCTCCCAAAGCATGGGATTATAGGCTGAGCCACCAGGCCCGGCTTTATTTCCTCTTTATTAGAGCAGAACTTCAAGTTGCTGTGATTCAGCAAAGCTGTACTCTAGAAATCATGTTTTCCCCCACCCATTCAAAGGCTGATTTACTCAGTGTCTGTTGTGCATGCAAGGTACTGTTCCAGGTGCTGGGAATACAGTGGAGAACACAGCAGCCTGGGCCTCAGAACAGGAATGAGTAAACATAAATCCTCCAGTAATTTCAAGTATTGATAAGGGCTATGGAGAAAATAAAAGAGGATGAGAAGACAGACATGATGGGGAAGCTTCAGAGGATGACCAGGAAAGCCTTTCTCAGCCTGAACTGAGAGACCTGAAGATAAAGGAGGGGGGCAGGGTTCAGAAGGAAAGAACAGACAATAAGTGCAAAAGCATAGAGGCAGGAACAAGCATGGCACTTTCAAGAACCAGAAACAGCACCTGTGTATTGTATAGCAAACAAGGGGGAGATAGGTGTAAGAAGGGGATAGGAAGGTGGGCAGAAGCCGGATTACACAGGGTCTTGCAAACGATGGGGGCAGGGTAGGCATGGATTTCACTCTCAGTGGGACGGGGACTGACCAAAGGAGTTAGAGCAGGGTTTGGACCACAAACCAACTCCTGCTTTTAAAAGATCACTTAGGCTGCTGTATGGAAAATGGGCTGGAACGGAAGCGCTTTGATGCAGCTCTGAGACTCGCTTTTCTATCTGTGAGGCTATGCATACTACAGTGTTTAAATATTAATATTTATTGCTTGACCACAGCTTGATAAGGGTTACAGTAAAAATCTGGTCATTGCCCTGGAGAGTTCCAAGGGCACAGATGACAACACAGTGGACACAGTGGGCACACTGGGAATTTCTGAGCATCTTCCTTAGGACAAGCAATGGCAGGAATAAGTTGATAGCAACTCTGAGCTCAAGGCTCCAGGCTCACCCTGAGACAGACACCGTTCTTGGTGGCAACTTTCGTTTGTGTTTTCCTTGAGTAAACTATAAAACAACATTCCAGCAACAATATGTGGTCTGTTCCCATGTATGTCAAGCAGTCTGGGAAACTATAAAAGAATAAAAGCTGCTTACATATGTGCACTCTAGTGTGGAACACCCTGCCAACAGAAATCACAATCAGTAATGTGACTGTAGAAGAGATGAGGCAAATTACAAAGATATACCAGATATTTTGTGTAGAACCACTGGTTTAAGTGAAAAAATATTTGACAGGATCACTTGGAAAAGGTAAGTTCCTGAAAAAAACAAGAATTTTGGATCTGGTTCATACAAATTGTTCAGGGAGAGATGCAAACATTCAGAAATAATCTTACAAAAATTCAATCCAAAATTTCAAGCCTAATATTTCATTTACTTTAAAACTATAATCAGGTGTGGAAGTCTTTCATTTTAAAAAGCCAGCAAAAAAAAAGCAATGTACTTGGTCACAAAAAGAAGAAGAAAAAGCTATCTCTGTGTCCATCTGTCTATCCATCTACCCACCTACCTACCTACCTTCCTTCTGGCTTCTTCCACAGATATCTACAATGGCTCCTAACTGCGAGGCACTGGGCAAAGCATGGAGATCCAATGTGCATGTGATAATTAAGGCCCTTGTCCTCCTCTGGACAGACACTGAATGATTCATCACCAATCAGTTAACTACTGGGAGATAAGTGTCCCAAACCGAACCACTGAACTGAGGCTGACATGAAGAAGTAGTAGCTAGATACATTCCAGGAACTATTTAGAGAAAAATGCACAGTTGACAACAGGACATTAGACATCATGCCTCAGTGACTGTATTGCCTAAGAGGAAAGCAAAGGGAAGTCAAGGAGAAGGTCCAGAAATAGACAAGCTGCCATCCAAGGTTTCCCTCAGAGGTTACCAGACACCTCCTTCATCTGCCCCTCACAGAGGATGATTCCCTGTAGAACTTGGAAAGAGACAGCCATACCATTTCAGGCCGTACCTGATAGTGATGGGCCTCTTTCTCTGGGCACATCTCCATTTTCCGAGCTCACTTTTCCAGAATCGCTCCTGGCATATTCACCATTGGTTAAGTTTGTTTTTTCAGGAGTTGTTGGTTTGCTTTGTGACTGGCTCTGCTTCAGACGACTGAACTTTGGGGATACTGCTGCGGCTTGAATCACAGGGGACTGGGGTTTCGACTGGATTGGTTTTTCCAATTCTCTGGCCTCCTGCAACTAAAAGGTAACAAAAATGGATTCGATCAAAATGGTTGTAGTATTTTGGTAAGGAACAAAAATTATGCCAGCCTATTGTTTAAAAAATTTGCAACCAGAAGGTACAATTTTTAAAAGGAAATAAATTCCTTTGACAAACTCAAAGCTATTTCTGAGTGCAAATTTCAGAACCCATGCAGGATTCTCTGATTTTTAAAACATGAACAAAAGTACCGTACGGAGAATTAAAAGAAAGAAGATATAAACTTTAAAATGCTAGTGAATTTTCACAGGTACCAAGGCCACACATGAAAGAGTTCCAGTGGTAATGACGCCTCACCCCAGCAGATGACAAGTGCTGCCACTCACCACTTGGTTTTCCATGCGGGTGAAAATGACATTGAGCATCTGGGTAAGGGTAGCCTTTGCAGTGGTCTGATTGATGAGATTTTTGCTGGCCAAATAGATATTGTAACATGTCCTCACTGTCTGCAGGATAGTGCCCTCGTGAATTTCAATGTGTGGAGAAGTCACTGCGGTCAGAAGAGCCTAAAAGAGAAATCAGAAACCTTCACCCTCAGGAACTCCAGTCACTACCCTCCTCCCCTCCTACAGCCAAATTGTTCTAGAGGATTTGGCTCTGCTTTTCTTAAAATAATTTTTTAAAAAAAGTAAGATGGCTCTGCAAACTAAACTGAATGATTAGTGCCAAGAGCCAATCTAGTGTTGTGAGTTTAAAAACAACAACTCCATGAAATCTAAATTATTTGAAATAATTAAGTTGTGTTGAACTAAGCTTTCTACTGGCTCACTTTTTAAAGCGCCAAACTTCTGGATGTTAATATTGATGGAAAAACCTAGAATGAAAAATACAGACACTTATTTCAGGAGCAAAAATGCCGCAACTTGATTTCACCCATACTAATCACAAAATAGACACGTTTGGGGCAGTTTCCCAATTCCCGGAGTGGTTGGGGGGAGAGCCATAAGAAAGCTGTAGCTACCATGGAGCATTTCTTTATAAAGCCAAATATTCAGGACTTCAGATCTGGAACCTTGGTTACACCCATCTTGATCCTATTCTCAGATTCATAGACGGTCCCATCCCATGCCAAATCATTCCTTGAAGCAGAAATGGAACAGGAAAATGGAGTGAGGGAACAAGAGGCCAGGGGCAAGTTGGAGATAAGCCTATCAACAAAGACCTGCCGAGAAATCCAGAGTTTCAAGGGGGAAAGACCAGACTATTTCAAGCTGACTTAATTCACAAGCAATTTACATTGTTATTAGTGGAACTGTTTACTTAGAAAACACACCTGCTTCCATTCTTCTTGTCTCAGACCACACTAATAAATTCTGACACACAACAAAAGATCTAAGCGATGCTAAAATTTTTCTCTTTCAGCTCAGCACCATCTGAGACAACTAACACATGGTAAATAGGAATCCAAATTCCCAATTCTCAAATGGGACTAGCTTTCTAATTTAAAAACCAGATTGGGCAAACAAACAAATACCTTAATTATTTGCAACTGAACGCCTTCATCGGTCTGAGGGCCCTGAAAGCAACTGCAAATGGTTTCCACAATCCTGTCGATCAAGCGCTTCCCTGGGGCTCCACTGTCAGGGGCGTTGCCAGTGATGTGTCCATATGCGATGAGTTTCTGAACAGAGAAAGAACAGAGGTTACAAATTTCTGCCTGGCTGGGCTTGAGGTCTTCTAGTGGCAGCCCAGGACAGCAAAAGACAAGCAGTGAGCATGGCCTTTAACTTCTGATTCCCACAAATTCCTCTGTGCCCCGAAGCCAGGCAGGCACAACCACTCTGTGAGTTCAGCCTTCATCCTGTCTCCTACCAGCAGAAGATTCCCTGGGATGATGATACAGTGGCCAATGAAAAAGGCAAGGTATAAGCCGGGCTCGGTGGCTCAGCCTGTAATCCCGCGCCTTTGGGAGGTTGAGGTGAGTGGATTGCCTGAGTCCGCGGGTTCGAGACCTGCCTGGGCAGCGAGACCTCATCTCTACAATAAATCAAAAAATCAGCCAGGCATGGTAGCGCATGCCTGTAATTCCGGTTACTTGGAAGGCTGAGGCGGAAGGATCACCGGAGCCCAGCAGGTCGAGGCTGTGGTGGCCGGGAGCGGCACTGCTCTCCAGTCTGGGCAACAGAGTGAGACTCCAACTCAAAAAAAGATAAAGGCAAGGTATAGAATACTCCCCAGTACACAACCATTTGTGCAACACATTGAGGAATTAAAAACTATACCCACTAGAGACAGAAAATGATCTGTGGTTATCTATAGTGGGGGTGAGGGTGGGAAAGGAGGTAAGCTAGAGGGGTGGGTAGGAAGACATGGAGATCGACTGTTAATGAATATATAAAATTAGATTGTAGTGATGGCTGCAACACTCTGTCAATAAACTAAAAATCACTGGACTGTATACCTTAAATGGATAAATTGTATGTGTGCTAATTATATCTCAAAAAAACTTAAAATTATATATATTTTTTCTTTAGATGGAAAGATTAAGAAACTGATGATAACATGTTTTGATTGAGAGGAGGAGAAATAAGAAGCCGTGGGCAGAGGAGAGACTGACATACTTTATAGTACAGCTTTTCATTCTTTTCCAGTGTTGAATCCTATCAGTATATTTTCTATGCCAAAAGTTAAAGACACTGCATCCTGTAACCACATTACTTAACAGTATGTGTCACCCCCAAGCAGCTGCCTGGGCCGTGCCCGCTCTGTTAAGTTACATATCAGTTTGGACAGGAGCCACCTGCCGGTACCACCTCACTCATGACCTAGTTTTTGGCATGGAGAATAGAACTGGAAGGGACTTCAAAGGTCGGTGGCAGGATGATTTCTATGCCTGGCTGAGATTCAGAATCACCTAAGGGAGCTCATTAAAAATACAGATTCCTGAACCTCAACTCAGAACTACTGAATCAGAACTTCTGAAGTGAAGCCCAGGAATCAGTGCTTTTTTCCCAAGCCATCTCGGTAATTTTGACAGTCGACTCTTCTGGCACATCTGTATGTGAACTTTAAGGCATTCTCTGCCTCTAGTGACTTGTTTGACTCCTAAAAATGTTGTTCTGCTCTTTCTCCTTTTTAGCTTCTGGCTGGTCACAGTCTTGCCTCTGCCCACACAGAGTGAACTTGAGTATGCTCCTGAGATTATCCACAGAGCTGCTACCACTATGGGAGGAAGACTGGCCACGTGGCAGAGAACTGATACCACTTCTCGATGGCTTTTCCCCTTCATTAGCTACAAAAGTGTCACCATTCAAAAAAGCAGAAAGAAAAATGTACTGCAGGAGTAGCTGAGAGCAATGCAATACTCCTGGATCAAGTGTCTGAATGCTCAGGAGAGAGACCTGCACACGCTCTGCTGCTCAAGTTCAACCTGGGGATCTCCAGGTAGGGGTGTGGAGTGTGAAGGGCAAGTCCAGATGCCCTTTACCTCACCCTCCTCCCCCTGTTGCTGCCGATGCAGGTTTCCTAGGAGGGCAGGGTCGGCGCCTGGAAAATGAGCTCTGGTTTTGACACTCTTTTCTCTTACTCCTAACAGATTTAGGTCTGTTTTGTGAGTGGGTTTTGAATGGGATGGTCTAGGAACTCATAAAATATTAATGTTGAAAAGCAGGTTCAATGGAACCCAATGCTTAAAGCAAAATGGAGAATTCTCAGATGTTTAATTAAAGTACGAAAGGGATGGGAGGTATTCTCCCTTCTACAGACTCTTTTGAGGGCATGTTACCCTTCACATTGAAGTGTTTTAAGTATGATTCCCCCACTTGCCTGTGCAGCAAGACAGGGCCAGAGTTCATGTGTAGTCAGGCTCAGTGGCTCAGCCTGTAATCCTGCGCCTTTGGGAGGCTGAGGTGAGTGGATTGCCTGAGCCCACGGGTTCGAGACCCGCCTGGGCAACTTGGCGAGATCTAATCTCTACAATAAATCAAAAAATCGGCCAGACGTGGTAGCGCATGCCTATAATTCCAGCTACTTGGAAGGCTGAGGTGGAAGGATCGCCGGAGCCCAGCAGGTCGAGGCTGCGGTGGCCGGGAGCGACCACTGCACTCCAGTCTGGGTGACAGAGTGAGACTCCAACTTAAATTAAAAGAAAAGAAAAGAAAACAAAGAGTTCATGTGTCCTGTGAGTTTTTATGGTTTTGCTTCCTCAAGCATCTCTAGGCCAGACAGTGTTCTGGGCACTAGGGATACAATGATAAGTGTGATCCTTTTTCTTATAGAGTTTATATTTTCCAGGAAAGCACGCCAAAGCCAAGAATCCTGACTGTGGCCTATAGGTCTCTGTGTGATTTGTAGGCTCCCCACCTCTTCCTTCTCCTACTCTCCCCCAGATAGATGTCCCTGCCGCATATCTTGCTAATGCAACGAAGGGGTGGGAAGAGGGACAGAGGAGGAGGCCTTCGTACAGTTGCCCCACTGATACAGGCATCCAGGGAACTTGCACAGGGATGTTTGCACACAAGAGGGGAAGATGATGACAATATAATCTATTAAAATGGGCTTTTATAGGACCCACTGCAGAAGGGAAAATGCTGTGTGGTCAGTTTTTGTGCAAAATAGGACATACCTAGTAATAAAGTAGGAGTCAGTAAGTTCTAGTTCAAGTTATCCACTCACACAGATAAATATATTTGGTACAAAACTATTCTACTCTTCTGAAGTTAGTTCCATTTCTTTTGCCCCAGTAATAAGAATCCAGAGTCCCCTCCGACCCAGAGAAATTACAGCATGTGCGTGGCTCAGCCTGTAATCCCAGCTCCTGGGGAGGCCAAGGTGAGTGGATTGCCTGAGTCCGTGGGTTTGAGACTAGCCTGGGAAACTTGGTGAGATCTCGTACCTACAATAAATCAAAAATTAGCCAGGCATGGTAGTGTGTGCCTGTAGTTCCAGCTACTTGGAAGGCTGAGGTGGAAGGATCGCCAGAGCCCAGCAGGTCGATGCTGGGGTGGCAGTAAGTATGCCACTGCACTCCAGCCTAGGCAACAAAGTGAGACTCCAATTCAAAAATAAAAAAAGAAGAAAATTACATACTGAAATAGGTAAGTGAGTTTGGGCCTTGTGGCCCAAAGGATTTCTGTGTTATCTGTAAAGTTCTAAAAACTTTTTAACAGAGAGCATGGTCACATACAACTCATATAATCACAAACTGACTTTTAAATATGCATTTGCTTGATCCAAGAGTTCAAATCAGCTTGGCCAACACAGCGAGACTTTCTTTCTATCAAAAATAAAAAGTAAATACGCATTAAAAAATCTGAAGTTTGGTCAGGCGTGGTGGCTCAGCCTGTAATCCTTCTAGTACTTTGGGAGGCTGAGGTGAGAGGATTGCCTGAGCCTGGGGTTCAAGACCAGCCTGGGCAACTTGGTGAGACCTCATCTCTACAATAAATCAAAAAATAAGCTGGACATGGTAGCTCATGCCTGTAATTCCAGCTACTTGGAAGGCTGAGGTGGAAGGATCGCCTGAGCCCAGCAGGTCGAGGCTGCAGTGGCCGAGAGTGTGCCACTGCACTCTAGCCTGGGTGACAAGAGTGAGAATCCAACTCAAAAAAAAGAAAAAAAATCTAAAGTTTTCTGAAAATAAGAATTAAAAGATAACGCTTATGGTATAAACAGCATGAGTCAGACCAATGGTTTCCTACTGCTTTCTCTGGGATGTAGAAACAAAAGATTAGAATTCTATTTCTATTTTTTAAAATCTTGTCCTTTAACAAATTCTATTTTTGTGTGTTTTATAATGTATGTGTGTTAATAATAGCAACACATCATATAATTTTAAATTAAAGAAATATCAATATATTGGGAGGATATCCTCAAAAAAATTAGTGATACTCGATGACTAACTTAGAGACTGGCCATAGTCCTCCTTACCAAGTCCTGGTCTCTAGGAGGTGTGTAGGAGATTAAATGCTAAAGGAAAGGAATACAGAGGATCTTTGTTACCTGACAAAAGCAAGCAACAGGGTAAGTCTCCAGGCTTCTCCCCATAGGGAGAGGGAACCTCAGCTAACCACTCATGGCAAACCAGACCCCCAAGCACCTCTGCTACTGCTATGGCCTCGCCAAGCTCAAAGAATGGCAGGGTACAGTGGGGACGTGCCTATAGCTGACTTCAGTTCTGTCAAAACCAAAGTTTACCACCAGATGCCGGCCTTCCATTTCTGTGTTACCTCATCCACACTGGGAAAAGCCAGTCAAACAGGCTAGGCATGAGCAGCCACCAAGGAGAAGTGCTTTTCACCATTCAGTAGACCAGGGAGCACCCAACATTTTCAGGTCGTAAAAAGGATGACATATTTTACATTTTGTATACTACACAAAAAAATTCCTTATGTACCTATTCCATCCCAGAGAACTTCCATTCTTAAAGAAGAGCTAATCATAAGCCTCAAGATTTACAGTGGGCCCAAGTAAAGCAGGACATCAGCATTTCTACTTGAAATCATTCTCAGAGATATACGGGGTTCCAGAAAGAGACTATTTGTTATAAAAAAGACTAGAACCACAGTTAAGAACAGATGCCAGCCGGGCTCGGTGGCTCAGTTTGTAATCTCGCGCCTTTGGGAGGCTGAGGTGAGTGGATTGCCTGAGCCAGCGGGTTCGAGACCCGCCTGGGCAGCGAG